GTCGATGATCGGATGTTTGTTGAGTTCTCAAACATGGGACCTAGAGCAGAAGGGAGATACCTGTTCGGGCTAATGCCATCATCCATGTGGTGCAGCAGTGCGATTAAGGTTCCCCCCAGTTTCACGAACTTGACTCACTGGTCAGATCTTCTTCAAGCAGGTCATCAAGAAGCGCTCAAGGTACATTTAATCTTGGTCCATACCTTCCTACTCTTTTGTTTGTTCATTTTATCTGACTTCCTTTGTTACTTATCTTCAGGCCGGTGTATATTATCATAAGGCCTTCCTTGCAGCTGAAAAGGAAATGAAACTCGTGGCCAGCGATCGGGATGACAGCCAGGTCCTTCTTTCTGCCGCTCGGAAATTAGCGGCGGATTTACAAGAACGCGCCAAAGAGGGTGAGAAAGCGAAGGCTGCCCTGGCTGCAATGCAAGAGAAGACCCGACGTCACGATCGGGAGATTAAGGAACTCCGGGCCAAGGTGCGGGCTGCCGAATCTGCCGGGATCAAATTTGACAAGGTCGATGGTGACAATCTTCCCGAATCTTATACTGTCAATACTTCCCAGATTGCCAATCAATCGATAGTTGACTATCAACGGGGTAAGGGGCTGAACGTCGCTCTGGAGAACACAGCCCGGCAATTCCTGGGACCTCATCTTGGCCAATTCTTACGCGAAAGCGAGGATCCCATCAAGGCAGGCATCGAACTCTTGGACAGCACGCTGGAAGGGAAATCTTTTCTGGATGTCCTGACCGAGAAAACTGTGACGCAAAGTCAGGATATGCTTTTAGATAGGAACCTCAATCTGATCTTGGAACATTTCCCTAAGCCGTTCGATCCTGATGAATTGGTCTTTGATGATCTGTTCGGGAACACTTATGACCAGATCATAGAGAAGAGGACAAAAGCAGTGCCAGATGATGCAGCGCAAGCAGGGAGCTGCCAACCTCCACCTTCCCCGAACGGCAGTCCTCCATTGGCATAGCCTTGTAATATTTTGCTTTCTTTTCTTTTTCTTTTGTATATTCCGGCTAGTAATGCCGAAGAATAAACTGGACATTTTTCTTTAACTGTGTTGATGTTTCTCTTCTATTTTTTCTTTGATTTCTCTCGCTCATAATCTTTCCTGTGTTGCCGAACATCACTCGGCTCATGTATCTTTATATTTCTGACATTGTTTCCAAGCCGTTTTGATCCCTCCGTTCGGTCATAAAATCAGGGTCAAATTCTTTTGGCTGAAATAATGTCTTCCTCCAAAACCGTTCATCATCCAGTCATCTATCTGGGAATTCTGATTCTGCAGATGACAATCCATGTTACCGAACGTCGTTCGTTTTGACCATAATTGTTCTGACACCTTTCCCAAGCCCGTTTTGATCCCTTTATCGTTCGTGATCCACGGGGTCAAAACTCTTTTAGCTGAGGTGAATCCCGCCAAGCCGTTTTGATCGTGACCACATGGTCAAACTCTCAACCGAGACGGCGGCTCCCTCCAAACTGTTAACCCGTTCGTCATTCGGTCATCCGGAATGATCCCACTTGTTAACAAGCTGAGGTGAGACTATCTCCTTTCCAAACCCATAATTCCGATGCATTCCAAACCATTCTCTCTGGCTCGTATCATCCATATTAGGGGTCTTTTCCATATTTGTTCTGACACCTTTCTCAAGCCCGTTTTGATCCCTTTATCGTTCGTGATCCACGGGGTCAAAACTCTTTTAGCTGAGGTGAATTCCTCCAAGCCGTTTTGATCGTGACCACATGGTCAAACTCTCAGCTGAGACGGGGGCTCCCTCCAAACTGTTAACCCGTTCGTCATTCGGTCATCCGGAATGATCCCACGTGTTAACAAGCTGAGGTGAGACTATCTCCCTTCCAAACCCATAATTCTGATGCATTCCGAACTATTCTCTCTGGCTCGTATCATCCATATTAGGGGTCTGAGGTAACCTTTTTCAAACTGTAAGCAAGGTCACCGGATCGGGTCATTCCTTATTTATAGCTAAAAGGGCGACTCGCTTCCAAATCAAGTTAATGACTGAGGCAAGATTTTTCAAAACCATAGTTCCGATTCCCCAGACAACAATCTGTACCTTATCCGAACATCACTCGGTTCGTCCATACTTATAGTCTTGACACCATCTCCAAGCCGTTTTGATCCCTTTGCCCGTACGTAATTACAGGCTCGAATTTAGCTAAGTTGATGACTCAGCTCCCTCCAAACTGTTAACCCGTTCCTCATTCGGTCATCCGGAATGATTTTGCGTGTTAAAAAGCTGAGGTGAGAATCACTGACATCAAACTCCAGGCCATTTTGATCCCTTTAACAATGCGTAATTACAGGGTCAAATTCTATTAGCTGAGATAATGGCTCCCTCCAAACTGCTAATATGTTCCTCATTCGGTTGTCCAGAACGATTCCCATGTTAACCGCTGAGATGAGGCTATCTGAGTGTCAAACTCCAAGCCGTTGGCTGAGAATGACTTTCCTTCCATGTTGTTAACCTGTTTGTCATTCGGTCATCCGGAATGACTGCATGTTAACCATGGGCTGAGATTTTCTGAGCATCGATTCTTCAAGCCGTTTTGATCCCTTATCCGTTCATAAATCTAGGGTCAAAACTTTCTTATCTGAGAATGATTTTCCTTCCATGTTGTTAACCCGTTCGTCATTCGGTCATCCGGAATGATCGTGTTAACCATGGGCTGAGATTTTCTGGAAGTTATGTCTCCCTCTCTATATACATATATACACACATTTTTTTTTGTTTTTTTAGAGATGGCAACAGCCGTTTTTATTGATAAAACTTCCTTAAATGTTCTGTATTCCATGTGCCTGCCGGTCGACCTTCGGTACATTGTAGGCCAAACGTTCCTGAAGCATACTTCTTGCATATTCGATAGGGGCCTTCCCAATTTTGTGCCATTTTTCCACCTTCGAGAGGTTTGCTTTTTTCTCGCTTCCTTAGCACCAGGTCCCCCACTTTGATTAAATGAATTTTTACTTGTTTGTAAAAGTATCTTCTCGTGCCCTGTGATACTCTTCCATTCGTGCAGCTGCCAGATCCCTTCTTTCTTCTATGAAGTGCAATTCGGCCCGTAGGTTGTCCTCATTCCGCTCTGGGCTATAATGCACCGTTCGGTGTGTGGGAACTAGGATCTCCGTTGGTACTTTGGCCTGGAAACCGTAAGCAAGGGCAAATAGAGTTTCTCCTGTGACCGTTCGGGTGTAGTCCTGTAAGTCCATAAGATATAATTTAACTGATCAGGCCATGATGAGGAGTATTCTTCCAGCTTCTTCTTCATACCGTCTATGATGGTACGGTTCATAATCTCTACTTGGCCATTCGCCTGAGGGTATGCCACGGATGCTCTGGAATGCTTGATTCCCCATTTGACAAGATAGTTCTCAAAATTCCGGCTCACGAACTGCCTTTCATTGTCAGTTACAATCTGTTCGGGGATTCCGAAACGGCAAATGATATTCTTCCAGACAAACTTTTGACATTTGACATCTGTGATGCTGGCCAGTGGCTCGGCCTCTACCCATTTGGTAAAATAATCTATCCCAACGATGATATACTTGTTGTTCCCAGGGGCAGTAGGTAGAGGACCTAGCAGGTCGATCCCCCATCTCGCAAACGGAAGGGCCACCGTCATTGGAGTGTAGAAAGTGGCTGGCCGTCCGGGGACCGGTGCGTATAACTGGCATACTTTACATTTTCTAGTATGTGCAAAGCAGTCTTGTTGGATAGTCGGCCAATAATACCCTTGCAGGATGATTTTTCTGGCCAGTGTCTTGGGCCCTTGGTGGCTTGAGCAGATACCCTCATGAATTTCTTCCATTACGGCTGCCGCTAGATCGGGTGGGAGGCATTTCAAATACGGCCCACCAAACGTCTTTTTGTACAATTGTCCGTCCACCAATTCGAACATGGAAACCCTCCTCTGGATGCATTTTATCTTATAAGCAGGATTTTTATCTTGTGGGAGGGTTCCGTCTTTTAGGTAGTTGGTCATATCTATGACCCAACTGGGGACGACATAAGATATAGCCTCGATCTGGAGCACCATGATTGTCGGGGTTGCCAATGTTTCCCGATGGGCAAACCGCTGGATATGAGCCGGAATCTCCTGTGCCCGATCGTCAAGCGCTGCATTTTCCAACTTGGATAAGATGTCCGCTTCGGTATTTTCTATTCTGGATATTTGGTCGAGCCCCACCTGTTCAAATTTGCTTATCTGCTCCTCAACTATCTCTTTGTAAGCCTTCATTCTTTCCTCTTTAGCCTCAGCCGTGCCATTTACTTGATTTACCACCAACTGACTATCCGACCGGACTTTTAACCGATCGGCGCCCAGGGTCTTAGCATATTTTAAACCCGCAATAAGGGCCTCATACTCAGCCTCATTGTTGGTTACTTTGAAGTCAAAACCAATTCAACAAGAAGGCAACAATATATTGTTGAAACCAACAAGATAAAACAAACATCTGGAGCTGCAACATACTCAGCTTCAGTGGTTGATAAGGCAACAATAGGTTGTAACTGAGATTTCCAACTAATACAAGAACCACACAAAGTGAACACATAGGAAGTGGTAGATTTCCTATTTTCTTTATCTGCTCTGGGATGAGAGTATTGAACTCGCGACCTCTTTATATTTCTTGTATTGTGCAATATATAATTTTTTTTTTGAATGATCTTGCAATAGATAATAATAGTCTTTTTATTATTAACCAATTAATCTGACCAATTAACTTAGCAATTTTATTTTCGTAATTTATACGTAGTACTCAGTATAATTAAGTATGTTAGTATGACAAGCGAATCCAACGTTTAAATTTTGTGCTTAGTAGATACAATGTTAAAAAGTTAAAAGAAGTAGATTATATGGTACCCACGAGGTACTATACCTTTGTTCACATAAACCAATGAAAATGTATCAGTTAAATTATTTAAATCTAAATTAAAAATGATAAAGTGATATGGTCCAATCAAATAAAATGAATGATAGTTACAGTACCCCATTTTTTAGAAATGTACCGGATTTGTCACCTAATATATAATCTCATCATAAACCCATGAATTTCAATTCAACTCATTGCCCATGGTCAAAATGACGCTGTTTAATTTTTGTAAAAAAAGAAACATAAAATGAAGAAAAAGAATTTCAACTTAAGAAAATGCATGGCATATATGGACTGGTAGAGGATGTTATGAAATCAGTGATCTGTTGCTTCTTCTGGAGGAGGGGGCAAATTGAGATCTGGCAACACTCTCGCTCTGGGCGCTGCCGCCGCCGCTTCTGAATCAGCCATGGCCACCGCTTCTCCACCAGCAGCAGGAGGAGGTTCCTCAGCTCTGACTTGATGGAATCTTTGGTACTCCGGCGCGATGGGATGGGGCCTCAGCAGACTCATTTGGTGCCTCACAAACGCGCTGATGTCGTTCACCTTCTTGCGCCGTTTCCGGCCGTCGCACGCCCCTGCAGCATGGTGCTGCAGCTGCATCACCACGCCGCTAGGTGGGGGAGGAGGAGGAGGAGGAAGGGCGCCTCCGTAGGATGAAGAACCCTCGTTGACGCCGTCATCCGGCGTCCCTTTCTTCGGGCTTGAAGAGTCGCTGCCTGAGACCGATGAAGGAGAAGAAGGCCGGGCTGCTGATGGTGATGCTGATGGGAACGGCGCCGCCGGCAAAGCCAAGACCACCGGCTTCGGTGGCGTCATTTCTGGGCGGCGGGGATTCGGTTGCTGCTGCGGCGGGCTCTTGTTCGGCTCGTCGTGATCCGCCGCTTCCAAGCAACGCGCTCCGTCAGTCGGTTTCAACACTATCACACCCACAACACAAATGGCGGGAAATCCATCATATTTTTAAAAGTACAATGAGTAATAATAAAAGTACGTTGATATATATATATATATATATATATATATACACACACATCCGCATGCACCAAAATATCACGTGTGATGCACCAATATAGCACGTGTTATGCACCAAAGTGACACATTATTGGCACATGCATTAGGATTACTATTAGATTATTTAAATTTGCTGAGCAAATTAATTCATACTTGAGCGGAGATAACTTTTTGTTTGTATCAATTTACATACTCCGTAATTAAAATATATACATGGTTTTAATAACACCATTTAACAAACGAAACTGATCATTTAAATTTGGACTGGTAAAAAATAACAAAAAACAAGATATATCTTTTTCAAAATATAGTACTCCGGCGGCGGCGGCGGCATGATCCAAATATATAGATTAGTTAAATAAACAAAAAGAACGTTTTTGATGCACATACTTTGAGTGGCCTGATTGGTTGTGTTCCGATCAGGAATATATGAAATGTGTATCTGATCTGATAGAGAATTGAAGGCAGCAGTATGTAGTGAACCCTAACCTAAATATATATATAGGCAGCCAACATATGCTGGTGAAATATGAATTATATTGGTGAGCTGTACCGTACAATATAATGTTGCTAGCATTAAAATGCATTAATAAAAAATATGAATTTAGACACATGCATGCCCTTCATATACTATTTTAAGACCTGATGATTCGTACCCTCAATCATTTTCAGTCTACCTAATGTAGAATATATATAATTATATCCTATTCCAATAATATATAAAAATTAACACAAAATATGAGTTGATTTATATATATATATATATATATATATATATATATATATATATATATATATATATATATATATATATATATATATATATCCGCGCGTCAGAACCATCTCACATTAACATATATGATAGAAAATGTCAATCAGTTAATTGCTAAAATCAAATTTTCACATAAAAAATTACAAATTGATGTTAATTCAAGAACTATTACCTAAATATATATATCCCCAACTATTATCACAAATTTATCTCAAACTTTCACTTTTATAAAAAAACTCAAACTTCAACTTTTCTCACATTTACACTTTCAATGGATGAATTAAAAAAACTTAAGAAGAAAATTATACGGAGTATATATATTTCATATTTTTTCCCTTCTATCTAGTTTTAAGTTTACAAACTTGTATTGCTTATATGTTATTGGTATTGATAATATATAATTTCACCAATTCTTTTATCGTATTGGTTGTAATAAAATATTAACAAATATTTTACATGTTTGTATTATTGCTTATATCTTATTGATATTGCTACAAAGCGCAAGGTCAAATTTTTCAGTGCAAAAGTATAGTGAACATGTTGCATTGGACTTTCCCAACTTACTTTTTCACATACTATCGCAAGAAATCTTATCACTTTCTCATTACAAAATTGTTCAAATAGGAGTCAAATATGGAGGAAGTTGAGAATATGACTAAGTATGTTTTCATTCTGAAAGATGACTTAATAAATCCTATTTTGAGAAGTTTTTTATTTTATTATTTTAATAGGATCGAATCAATCATCTTTTAACTGCGCAGTTATCTTCAAGACTTCATTTGAATGCCTTCCCGATTTAAGTTTTATCTGAAATTTGGTATGAGTAAACTAGACTTAATGAATAAGATGCTCAAAAAAGTTTATCAAAAAACTCCAAATGACGACTCCCGGATAGTAAGGACGTTATAAGGACTTAATTGACCCCTTTTATGCAACTTCGAGGACCAAACTGATCCTTACCTTGTTATTCAATTATGCTTTATGAATATATTTCAAGTTTATGGATTGAAATTTATCATTCTGATGATCAGTAATCGCTTTTCATATTTTATTTATGAACATATATAGATTTATTAGTTTTTTTCAATTTAACTTGTACGTAGTGTCAGGTTTTCACCTCTCCAGCTCAGACCATGCTCAAAGAGCACACAACCAAGCACCACCGGAGGGGACAATCACACTCAGGCCAGACCAACCATCTCAACGCACACCATAGGTTAGGAGGGGAAGCACAGAGAGAAACACCACAGAAGAATCGAAGGAGAGGAGACAAAAAGTCTCTCTTGTTCGCTCTCGCCTCACTCTCTCTCTAACCGAAAGGTCTCACACTGCTCGAGAGCAAGGAAAGGTGTTTAAGTACCAAGGGCTGCAAGGAACCCTAATAGAGGGTTCCAGAAACAAGGCTAGCGAGAATGCATGGGCTGAAGACCAGAGATAAGTAAACAGGCCCAACAGGTAAAAGAGGGCTGTCATGGCTTTACGGGCCAATACCTCCACACTCTCCACCTTATTGGCCATCATTGGTGGTGCAAGGTATCACAAAGTAACATGAGCACGTGGTTCATCATCGCTGGGTCCCCAGTGATATCTTAAAGACATAACTGGCAAACAAATTGGAGATACACAAAATACTCTCAAAAGAAAATTGTAGAAGCACCCGAGGTACTCTCCCTGACCGTGAGAGCAGATTCTCTCAAGCACTGCGCTTTCAAGAATCTACCCTCCCAAATACCCAAAACCTGCAAACAAAGTTAACCGCAGTCCAAATTTAAAATTTGTTTACAAGACGACAACTTTTCAGCAAACAGACACTTCGTCCCCATATCTACTGGGTTGAACTCTGAGGGTATCTTGCACAACTTCACCTTACCTGCATCTAAAACATCATGAATAAAGTGGAACCTCACATCAATGTGTTTGGTTCTATCATGAAAGACAGGGTTTCTGCAAAGCTGGATAGCAGACTGGCTATCAGAAAACACAGTGACATCCTGTTTAAGAAAACCTATTTTAGTGACAAGACGTCTCAGCCAGATGGCTTCCTTGAAGGCTTCTGGAGCTGCAACATACTCAGCTTCAGTGGTTGATAAGGCAACAATAGGTTGTAACTGAGATTTCCAACTAATACAAGAACCACACAAAGTGAACACATAGGAAGTGGTAGATTTCCTATTTTCTTTATCATTAGCATAGTTAGAATCAACATAGCCACTCAGTTTCACACCTTCAGCACACTTAGTAAAAATCAAACCATGATTTGCAGAAAATTTCAAGTATCTCAAAAGCCATTTCAAATCATTTCAATGAGGTATACCAGAATTAGACATAAACTTACTTAAACAGCTTATAACATAGGCAATATCAGGTCTAGAACTAACCATCAGATACATCACAGAACCTATAGCATTAGAGTAAGGAACAGACTTCATAAGCTCAATTTCAGAAGCAGTCTTAGGAGACTGATTCTTACTTAGCACAAAATGAGAGGCAAGAGGTACATGCACAGGTGCAGCAGAAGACATATTAAACTTACTCAAAACCTTCTCAACATAAGAAATCTGATTCAGAACAAGAGTATGCTTGCTCGTGTCCCTAACAATGTTAATCCCAAGTATCCTCTTGGCATCTCCAAGATCTTTCATAGCAAAATTCTCACAAAGACATTTTTGAACAGATATAATAGATTTAAGACAAGGACTTATAATAACCATGTCATCCACATAAATTAACAAGAACACAGGAACAGAATTAGTATTCTTGAAATAAAGACAATGATCATAGGCAGATTTCAAAAATTTCATAGACTGCATACACTTGTCAAACCTAATGTTCCACTGCCTAGGGGATTGCTTCAGGCCATACAAGGCCTTCCTAAGCACACAGACATGGTCACTCCTCTTGGGATCCACAAAGCCCTCAGGTTGAGTCATGTAAATTTTCTTATCCAATTCACCATGCAAAAATGCGGTGGTGACATCCATTTGTTTCATCTCTCAGTCATGGTGTTGGAGATATTTAATTGTGAATCAAGTTGGTCATAGATTAGCTTTATATTTAATCCTTGTATTTAAATAGTGCATAAATTAGATAGAAATCAGGCCAAGTGTTAGGCCCATTTAAACAGGCCAAAAGCCTGATACGCCTAACCTAAACCTCGCCTATAAAAAGGGGGCCGAGGTTTAGGAAAAGGTTGAACGTCGTACTTATTATCCATAGCCTTACGCTTATCATTCTGCTGTACGTTCCACGGTTTATCAAAGAAGGTTTTACGGTGATTCATTCTGTGTTCATCTTTACGTTTAATCTTCCTTGTAAGATCGATTATTCATCGCTGTTACAGAAACAGGGACTAACAATTGGTATCAGAGCCGATCGAGAACGATCAGAAGAACTCCTGCAGAATACTCTGTTTTTGGTTAACGTAGTTCATTCTGTCGATTTTTTGCTCTGTAATTTTGTTTCTTGTTCAAAAGTTGTAAAAGTTACACCTTTGGAATCGCCTTTTCAAAGCGATCAAAGGGTATACTTCAGTTTGTGTTTTACGCATTTTTAGATTTCGAGATATCTCGAGCTAGGCATCTCGACATCCTACTTCTTCACAGGCTCTACTACGTTTTTCGAGCTGAAAACTTTACCAGAAGATCTCGACATTCAACTCTACAGGAAACTACCTTCAGATTTTGTTTATCTGATTTTTACAGGTTGCAAGATTTCGACATTGAGGATTTCGACATCTAGGATTTCGAGATCTTGATTTCGAGAAAAGGATTCGACATCTGGTCTCGACATTTGGCTTATCAGATTAAGATTTCGAGTAATTAACTTCTCGACATTTCAAATCTCGAGATCAGCATCTCGAAATTTGAAATCTCGAGATCCCTAATCTCGAGATCCTTAATCTCGAGCCCAAATCTCGATATCGGGCCTCCTTTATCGAAATCTGAGATTTCGATATTCAGATCTCGACATCTGATTTTTCGAGATTCTGCCTCTGAAAATCTTTTGATCAATTTTCTCGAACGGTCAGTTTAGTACAACAATGGGTTCAGAATACAATGCACAAGGGAACAGCAGTACCCCTCCTAGCCTCAGGAAGGGAGAATATCAAATGTGGAGGAACAGATTTCTAAACTTCCTCGAGCACAAAGAGAACTCTTCTGC